TGGTGTGGGCTTATTTTCATCACTTCGGTGGTTAGATGAAAGATCAAAGGGTCTCGTTCTACAAATTATCGAGGGTCCTAGCCTAACAACAAAAAATGAAAATAGTAACTCGTAAATGGTTGTTTTTTTTTCGAATTGCATAAAATTGTAGAAAAAACAATCTGTTAAGGGTGGAAGCTTATTTACGTTATCAAGGTCCTTGACAAAAAGTTGTCTAAAAAACTTTGGTCTTATAGTGAGCGTACATAAGAAGCTTTTTTGAATGGCCCAAGTCATCGGCTGGCTTCTTCATAGAGGAACAAAAGAGTTTTAGGTTGACTTACGTCCTACGCTTCTTTCTTCTTTTACGAACAGGCAGCCGATGACTTTTAGATGACTTAACCCGGTCAAAAAAGCCTTTCATGTATTCTCACCTTTAGTCAGAAAATAAAATCGAATCAGCTTATGCATACACATGAAAGAGTAGTGGAATAACTGACTGCCTGATCTAGAAAAGGCTGATGCTAGAATCGTTTGAGGTGAAATTGCATAAAAGGCTTTTTTGACTGGTTTGAGTCATCGGCTGGCTTCTTCGTGGAGGAACAAAGGAATTTTATGAGTTTTGCCTTGTTAAGGCGAAGAGCATATGTTTTATGATTTAAGTGTTTGTTTTCTCTTTCGAGACGAGCTTAATGATCTGAAATTTGCAGTGAAAAGGAAAGCCAGATAGACACTATCACACACTCACCACTATGCGACGCGTTTCGCCGTTGGTTAAGCGGCTCATCAGGCATATTTGGTGTGGATGATGGCTTACAAGGGCCGTTCTCTGGAAAGTAGTATATATTTCGAACTTATTGCAAATTAGCATATGCGAATTATACACTAGAAACTCTCCAGGTTCGACTCAAGTTCTATTGGCAGATCTTTTTCACAGCAACGTTTTGTTTTTGTAGTGATGGATTTTTTGTCCACAACAACTACATTGCTTCCAATGCATACACTTGTTTTAGTGCTGCTTTAGGAAGACGGGTTAATGGCTCTGAACGTAGAGACGGCAACTTCTAGTTGGCTGCACACAGAGGTCCGCGGTTCAAATCCCACAGCCAGGCTCGGCTGAATTTTTGAGTTTTGCCTTGTTAAGGCGAAGATCATATGTTTTATGATTTAAGTGTTTGTTTTCTCTTTCGATTCTCTTTTATGTTGAGTTAATTCGATTTCTGCACTGGGCTGCTTTGTTCTTTTGCGAAAAATCCTGCCGATGAATTAAGCCAGTCAGAAAGCGTTCTATGTATTCTGAAATTCACTTTCTTTGGAAATCCGTACTAAAAAGGTACGAAAAGTACTGAAACTTACTAAAAGTTGAATGCTTCGTATTGGCGAAACGGAATGAGTTAGAACTCTAAAATGTACCAAAGGGCTGTTTGTAATTCGAAGTTTGGTTTAGGGTGAACAGATGAAGCTGGAATTTAGAAATTTTTGGGGTCCCTGTTAGTGGAAGATGTGTGGTAAAGTAAAGTGCACAACAAGTACTAATTAGTACTATATTGGGTGCGATTTGGTATTGGGTAAACAAATAGTGCTTAAAATCTGGACACATGGAGGTGGTTTCTGAAATGTGTACAATAATTGTAGGAAAAATACTAAGTGGTACTAAATTTGGTATTGAGTGAAGGGATTCAACTGGAATCCAGAAATTTGATATTGAGATCTCTGATAATGTTTTTGGTTGAGATATGGAGGAGTAAATATGTACTGTAATTGTACCAAAAGATACTAATTTTGTATTGGATGACGGAATAAGGCTGGAATCCTTAAATTTGACATTGAGGTTTCTGTTGGAATCTGGAATTGAGATATGGGGTTGGTTTTGGAAATGTGTACTATATTAAAAAAGTACTAAATGGTACTATATATTGTAGTGGGTGAGGAATAGAACTGAAATCCCAAAATTTTGTTATAGTATCACTGTTGATATCTGTGCTTAAGATATGGAGGTGTTTTTGCAAATGCGAACTATAATTGTTCGAAAGGTCCTAAGTTGGGTATTGGGTGAAGGGATAGAGCTGGAATCCCGAAATTTCATATAAAGGTATCTGTAGCTATCTGGAATTAAAATATGGCAGTTGTTGTTTTACTACATTTGATATTGAAGTCTTTGTTGGTATCTGGTTTTGAGATGTGGTGTGGTGTTTTTGCAAATGCTTACTATAACTGTTAGAAAAGGACAACATGGTACTAATTTTAGATCACTGTTGGCGTCTAGGATGGAGAGATTTAGATGTTTTTTTGGATATGCGTACCAAATGTGGCATTGAGTGAAGGGACAGAGTTGAAATTTTATATTGTGGTCCAATTTTAAGGTGGACTTTTCGCTGACGAAGTTGTGGGAACTTGCTCGTCGAAAATAAGTTAAATACTTCAATAGGTCTGGAGTCAAACAACCTATCATAAACTTTCGATCTATTGAAGGTCTTGGATACAACGAAGACCTTCTACCTCTAGACTAGCTATAGAAGATCTGCAATTATTAGATAAAATATTCCTACTTTCTAACAGAAGACTCCAGCACCCGTGCTGATACTTCTGTATATATCAGCAAACCGATTATTGGTAGATTGGCTTCGTTCGAGTCATCGCTACTTGGAATCAGAATCTCAACTCTGTCAAACCTCATAGTTGTACATAAGAAAACGCTGTTCCGTTCATTATTTGTGATTACTTTTTAAAGGAAGGATTAGTCAGCGTTTTCAGTTATTATTTGTGATCACTTTTTAAGCACGAATTCGTCATTAAATATTAAGTTATCATTGTTTTTTTTTTAGTTTTAGTCGTCACCCTGTTGTTGCATTATTTTCAACAAATCGTAACGTGACTCCAATCACAACATGCTGATTCACCTTTACCATAGCCATTATTCCTTGCCATAGAATAAAGGACGTTTTTTCAAGCAAAAAAAAGTGGGAAAGTATATTTGGTTCATGAACTAAATAAATTTCATCAATGGATTTGTACACAATTTTAAATGTTTAGTCGGTTGTGACCTCTATCATAATGAAAGTAATGTGATTGCTTGGCCGAATACAGTTGAATTCGACTGACCAACAGAGTAACAATAAAAATGGTTTATGTCTTTGCGCTTTACCCGTACGCTTGGTGTCTTCGAGAAAATTATGGCAATACTATCAATCAGGTTTAAAACTCTACTAAAGGTATATAACTCCTTTAACAGGGTAACACAAAATTCAAGATCTATTCCCAAAACTAGATTTTAGAGAAGTCAACACAGTGATTGATGGAAGTTTGTGAGGGGATACAATTAAAATTGTATCTAATTGATGAGAATATTAATTTCTTATATTTTATCGAGGGATTACAAAAGGATTAACAAACTTAAGATATTCTCCATAGTATGGCGGAGGGCATAAAAATGAAGACCTTGTATTTTTATACCCTCAGCCATATGGCAAGAGAGAGTATATTCCATTTGATACGGCCAAAACGTGTTTGAAAAATTATGTCTCTTTGGACCAAATCCGTTTCAGGGCATTTGGAGTCGATCTAGCGATGTCCGTCCGCCCGTCTGTCTGGCTGATGCGCACGATGTCCCAACTTGGTACATCGTAATATTATCATCAAACTTAGATCGAGTTCAAAGACGGGCAATCTTGGTCCACTCCTTCTGGTAACTCCCCCACAAAATATCAACATTTTCAAAGACAACAATTTACTGCACAGAAAGAGAAAGAATAATGAGATATTGCTCCAAAATTGCTAATCCTAATATTTGTATCAGTGCTAGGTCAGGTGCGCAAATGGACAATATCGGTCACCTCCATCCAGTACCTCCCCCAGAAAGGGTCCAAATTAATATCCGATTCTATTCAGACTTAGCACATCTCAATATTTCCATAAGATCTGTTATAAAGATGGTAGAGATCGGACCATTCCTCTCCCACAAAGGGTTAAAGTTTTGAATAACAAAAAGGATCATAACATCCGAAATAAGCATCCGATTCTCTTCAAATTACACAAATCACAATATTTTTATTAACCCAAAGTCTGGTGTGGAGATGAAATATATCTGTCCACTCCTTCTGGTATCTCCTCCAGTAGAGGTCAAAATTTTGAATATTCATGAAACTCATAAAACACGAAATTAACATCCGATTCTATTCAGACTTGGCACATCTCAATATTTCGAGATCGGACCATTTCTTCTGATACCTCCCCCACATAGGGTTCAAGATTTTGTAAAACAAAACGCTCGAAGAATGTGTAATAAGCATCTAACTCTAAACATTTTTGCTAACGTATCTTGTGAAGATGATATATATCTGCCAACCCCTTCTGGCACCTCACCCACAAACGGTCACAATTTTAAATTCCTATATCTGTCATAACCTACGAAACAAGTCGACGATTCTTTACAATTTGTATGTAAACTATGTAAATGTTCGATTTCCTTCCAATATTTTTATCTGTATTATATGAGGTGGAATAATTCAGTTCGCTATATCAGTTACCTCGCGCATATTTCCATATTTCCCAAAAGTTGCACATATTTCATATAAAGTATAGGAATTAGTCGATAAAGTCCAAATCTGGCACGTTGTAATATTTATATCAGTTTTAGGTAAGTTACGAATTGGGCAATTGCTTTGGAAACTTCCCCATAAAGGGTCACCAATTTGAATAATCATAATTCAGGGCTGGGGGTATACATCTGTTCGCAAAACCGACTGATACTATTTTACTTATTACTTTAGGTTGAATATGGAAACGAACTATGTTCCCCAAAATCACTGCATCCATCCAATCTGTTTCCTTGGATTATTATACCATTTCCATTCCCTTGGAAAACGAAAAAAGTTGTCGATACTATTTCCCACCCCAGATAAAATACCAACGAACACATAACATTTGGCAACCCCGTCGTATTTACACAATATTTCTTTCGCTCTCTTTGTAATAACATTCGTAAATAAAGCTCATTTTGACGTTGGTAATGCGACCGCATAAGATTGGCAACACAACGGAAGCCGACGACAGCAGCAGCAACAGCAACAGCAACAGCGCATTGAGGAGTTTAGTTGAGCAGCAAACAGAAATCGAGAGATTGTCGAACACGACGGATGAAATTTAACGGTAGTGTCGCAGTGCCAACGGCCGAGTTCATATTTCAGTGTGAAGTGGTCTTTGCAAATTCTTCTTCTAACATAGAATTTTTCAAGTTTAATAAATTAAAGTGAAAAAAAAAAACAAAGAGAAAAAATAAATAAATAAAAAATAGTTCTGTGAAATTCCTAGTGACAAGTGAAAAAAAATTGTTATTTACAATTTCTGCATTGAATGGTAAAAACATAGAAATGCATGCTACGCTGCTTTGTTGTGTCAACATCTAAACCAGTTTTTTCTTTTGGCCAACACCACCATTCCGTCGCCGTGATTCAGCCAGTGTGAGTTATTTTACTTGGTATTCATAAAATTTATTAACAAAATAATTGTTGTTTGTTTGTTTGTTTGGGGCTCTCTCGAGAACTCCAACGCTCTCCGGTTTTACGGCTGGCACTCGCTCTCTCTCTCCTCGGAAAACATATGTGTATGTACCCCCATATGTTTGGACAATAACACAGAACACAAAACAATAATAAACAATAACAAACAACACAACACACGTTGAAATTTTTATTAACTGCAATGTGTTGTCGGTTGGTTTGGACTGAGGAAGAGAATGGGAGAGCATGGTAGTGGGAGTAGAATCAAGTGTAGTATTTTTTACGGATGTCTGTATGCATGTATTCTAAAAAGAAAACAAACAAAACAAAGTCCAAACATTTCACTTGTCAATCAAATACAAACTCCATTGCCGTTAAGTGCCATCAAAAGGAATTACATCGCAGTTTTAAAGTGAAGGACAGTTTCTTTTACGGAATTGGAACGCAATTCAATAAATTTCTCAACACATTACGTTTCCTCCCCCTAAAAATTCTTACTCAATGGTTATATGGACGAATTAATGTTGACATGCCCCGGCATTTAGTATTTATTCAGCTGAAGTTTCTCGTTGTTTCCTTTCTCCTTTTACCCAAGGGCCATGAATTAGAGTTGCCGTTTTTTGGCAGTTCTGATTAAAAAGGAATTTTTGGTCGTTTGATTGACCCTTGACGAGAGAGGTGTTTTTTAATATTTAAGACTTTAGATTGAGGAATTAGAGGAAACTTCTACAGGTAGAGAGAAGTATTATGAAGCCCAGTTAAGGATTCAGTTCAAATATCTCCTGAGATCTATAAGTAGAAAACCTCGAGAGGCCTTTAATCTTACGCTTTCGTTGTGCAAAAGACGTCTTGAGATCTTAACCCTGTGAAATACTAATGCGTGAAGTTTTCTACCTGTAAGATAAGATCCCTTTTTTCAACCTTTAGAATATCTTCTATGTGCGCATCTACCAGTAGAATACACCTTCAATTCTTCAATCTGTTAAAGAAATTCTGAGGTAACCGAGGATGATTTGCTAGTTCCCTATCTAATCAATTCTTCAATCGGTTAAAGATATTCTGAGGTAACCGTGGATGATTTGCTATTCTTCTATCTAAGAAAGATCTCTTGAGGTCTTCTATGGAAGATTCCTTGAGAACTTTTATAGAAAACCACCTAAGATTACCGAAGGTCACCTATTGTAGACTTCCTCCACAGAAGACACCTTTGAGTCTTTTATGAACAATCCCTTAAAGTCTTTTAACTATAGAATACTGTGTAAGGTCTCTAAGGTTGAATGCCCTTAAGGTCTCCGCATAAAGCCTTTAAAGTCCCTAAGTAGGCCTTTAAGAACTTCAATCTGTTCAAGGCCTTTTTTGATCTCCTATCTGTAAAAGATCCCTTGAGGACTCCAATAGACATTCCCTTGAAATCCTCATGGAAGACCCTTTATGGTCAGCTATAGCAGACCTCTAAAGGTCTTCTTTCTTTTTCCTGAAGACCAGCATAGGTCTCCTATTTAAGACATCTACTATAAAAAACCTGTTAAGGTCTCCTCTAGAGGACCTCTCAAGGTCTCCTATAGTCTCCTAAGTTCTAATGTAAAAGACCTTTTAAGGTCTCTTATAGATGGCCACTTTAGGTCTCCTATTCTATAGGTCTCCTTAGGTCTCCTATAGAAGACCTCTTAATGTATCTTATGGAAGACCTCTTTAGGTCTCCTATAGAATACCTGTTAAGGGCTAATATAAAAGACTTGTTATGGTCTCCTATAAAAGTCCTATTTAGGTCTCTTTATGTCTCCTATAGAAGACCACTTTAGGTCTCCTATAGAATACCTCTTTGAGTCCCCTATAGAGGACCTCCTTAGGTCTCCTATGGAAGACCTCTTACGGTCTAAATGCCTCTTAAGGTCTAAAGGCCTCCTATAAATGACCTCTTAAGGTCTCCTATAAATAACATTTCTAGGTCTCCCATAGAAAATCTCTTAAGGTCTCCTATTGAAGAAATGTTTAGGTCTCCTATAAAAGACTTCTTAAGGTATCCTTTAGACGAACTCTTAAGGTCTTCTTAAGCATAAATTTAAGGGTCTTCTATAGGATATATATTCTTTTAAAACCTGCTGTATTCCTACATAATAATCCTTCAGGTTTTCTATCTATAGAAGACCTCCTAAGGCCTCTTATATATAGAGGTTTCCTTATAGTCTCTTAAATATATAAGATCCTTAATGTCTTATTTCTTTTATGATCTATTTGTATAATAATTTTATGTTTTCTCTCTACTGAAGATCTCTTTCATCTGTAGAGCCCTCATATCTTATCTTCTGGATGAATTCAAATGTGGAAACCACTTGTGAGACCTTTATCTACGAATAGCCATTTGAGGTCTTATTTCTGTAGACGACTTCTTATCTGTAGAAACATTTCTATGAAAGACTTATTAAAATCGTTTTTGTCGCTTGGAGGAAATCTTGATGGTGTATCTCCTCTTTCTCTTCCGAAATCTCCTCTTTCTCTCAAGGTCTCATACCTCTTACGGCGGAAATACATAAGGCGCATATTTGCTGGCTTAAGTCATCGGTTGGCTTTATGTATTTCCACCTTTAGAACTTCTATATCATCTATGGCCTTTTAAATTTCCTAGGATTTGCTTTTGTACTTCAAGGACAATAAATTTGGTTCTTGGTTTTAGTTTTTATTTCGAGACGGCAACCCTGGCTAGGAATACCCTTCCACATTTTCTTTTGTTATGCTGGATGTTATTGATTATTTTTTCATGTAGCGGTGATGACGACAACGACAACAGCGGTGTCGGTGGCGTCGGCAGCAGTTGGTGGCGATGAAACTTGTCATGGTGGTAGGCTTTTGAAGCCCAGCATGAATCAACCAGGCCGGCAGCCAGCCAGCACGCACGCACGTTCTTTAAACATATTTACAAAAACACATGGTTTTTGTTGTAGTCTCACATAATGCTGCCGATGTTTCAAGTTTATTAGCATTTCCATTTCTCTTTTCGGTTTTCGTTTTTGTTTTCACTAAATGTTAAATGTCAGCAGATACAGTTTTTTTTGCTTCTCCTCTTTGCTTTTTGGGGGTTTTCTTGCGATTATGTTGTTGTCGTCGTCGTCGTCTCAGTGTTGTTATTTGTGTTTTATGTTTTTGGCATTGTAATACTACTGGAGCGTGGAAAATACTACACATAGCTTTATTGATGGGTTCTATGGGCATTGGATGTGACATTAGTCAACAGAGAATGAACAATGCAATAGAAGGGTAAATTCGAGGGCGAGAATGGCAAATTGATTTGTGATCATCTTTAGTTTAATTTGCCAGCTATCAGCATGATAATGCAAAAATGTCGATAAACTTAACTTCAACAGAGTTGGATTCGTTATAGCCTTCAATCCTCGTAAATCTCAATAAAAAATTCTAAATAACTCAAAAAAAAACAAGTTAAAAAGTAGTAAGTTTGGCTGGCCCGAACTTTGAATACCCTCCAACATTTGGAACGATTTTGGAAATAAAATCCTTAAAAAAATTCTGTTAGAATTTAAAAATACCGAATATAGCCGTTATATTGGTGTCTATAAGACGTGGACGTACATGGGCATTGTTTGTCATAAGTCATTGCCATATACAAATTCGAAACTTAAAATAAACGGTGAATAATGTACCTAAAATAATAAATCAAAATATGGTATATAGGAAGGTAGCGTTATATCGGAGCTGTGCCATAGCTTCTGCCATAAGCTGTAGCATTCATTAGCATCAAATACGCGTCTCAAACAATTTCGATGGGTATTGTACAAAAACTCGTCAAAATACCGAATATAGGGAGGTACTGGTATGTAAGGCCTATACGAAGACCTGGACCTGCATAGACAATTTTCTGTTACAGACTGTAGATCCCATTACGAGCTCTAAATACGCAATTTGAAACAATTCCGGAGAATAATGACGCTAAAATCATCAAAATACCGAATACAGGGAGGTACCGTTATATGGTGGCTATACAAAGTCGTGGACCTGGACAGACAATTTTCTGTCTTAAGCTGTAGTATCCATTACGCACTTCAAATACCAAATTTGGAACAATTCCGGTGAATAATGTCGCTAAAATCATCAAACTACAAAATATCGGGAGGTACCGTTAAATGGGGGCTCTACGAAGACGTGGACCTGGACGGACAATTTTCTGTCTTAGGCTGAAGTATTCATTACGAACTTCAAATACCAAATTTGAAACAATTCCGGTGAATAATGTCGCTAAAATTATCAAAATACCGAATATCGGGAGGTACCGTTATATGGGGCCTATATGAAAACGTGGACCTACATGGCCCATTTACGAACTTAACCTGCGTACTGGAAAAATAAACATGTGTGCAAAATTTTAGCCTTCTATCTCAATTTGTTGGGTCTGACATGAGTATTTCGAGGAGTTACAAACGGAATGACAAAATTAATATACCCTCCATAGTATGGTGGAGGGTATGAAAACAAATAATCAACTTTGATATTATCACGGGCTTATGAAAAATGCTTTGTGATTCATAATGTACTGCGTGCTCATTTACATTTTTACAACAAATGACTAAGGCTATGTCATTTCGATAATTAATTATCCATATCGGCGATTGGAAAACAGGTTTATTTGTTCAACAAATTTCAAATAAATTTTATAATCGGCGCAATAAATAAGCAGTGTTGAAACCACATTATTGTTGTATACCTGCCAGAAAACTAGTAATAACATTTGTCAATAAATTCTGCAAATAAAATTCACAAAAATATTTTCCTGATTACCTCTCGGCTTGGATTACTGTCTGGAAATCAGCTGTTTTTGCTTCCAATTAACAAAAAAAAAACAAAAGCCACATTTTTCGAACGCATATCAATATCTGTCAATGGCTCCCAAGTAGTATCAGCATTGTTCCACTTTTTAATCATCTTCTCTTCCATAAAAAAAATACTGTTTT